AAAGTAACAGATACCCAAAGCAAAATTGTAAAACATTTAATAAATAAAGGATGGACTATTAATGAAGACAAAATAGGCAAACCTGGTACAGAGGTCAAGTTTCTGGGAGTGCATTGGAGCACTACAGGACCCAAAATACCAGATCAAGTGATAGATAAATTGAAAGGACTCCAAATACCTAATAATAAAATGGAAGTCCAACATTTAATTGGATTATTCTCATATTGGAGACAACATATACCCTATTTACAAGTACTATTACAACCATTGTATAAAATAACTAAAAAGGCAGAAGAGTTCACTTGGGGAAAGGAACAAGAACAAGCAGTAAAAGTGACACTGGAATATATAGCACAATTTCGCAACCTAAATTTTGTACAACCAGATGATACTATTATCATTGACCTGTTATACATGGCAGGTTATGGAAATTGGAATATATTTGCTAAAAGAAATTCGGATTTAGTTCCTGTAGGATTCTATTGCAAGAAATTCCCATGGTCTGAACAAAAATATTCACTCTTTGAGAGACAAATATGGACTGCTTATGAAGCAATCAGAACAGTCCAGTCCTTATTAAGAAACAACAAAGTGATAATAAGGACCAACTTACCAATCATAGATTGGATTAAGGCACCTGGAGAAGCATGGGCTGGACTACCCATGGAAGGAAAAGTCTTAATGTGGAAATGGTTCCTAAATGACTTCCTTCGGTTGAATGCAGTGTCTGCACAGGGGTCGGTACCAATGGTCTCGGAGTCGATACTTCAGTCCAACAGCCCCATGACTCCAAATGGGATTGAGTTCCCTAAGACCACCCCTCCCCTGAAACAGGTACCAATGGGGCATTGGGGGACACAGGCATACAACCCCTCCATGGTTAACGCCTGGTTTACTGATGGATCAGCAACTTCCAGAAATGGAAAGATACATTGGAAAGCTACAGCTTTCAGACCATTTGATGGAAAAATATTGCAGGAATCAGATACAGGAAAATCTGCACAACATGCAGAAGTTATAGCAGCTAAATTGGCAGTACAGCAATCCTTTGATGAGCAACAGAAAGTGTGCTATATTTTCACAGATTCATGGTGTGTGGCAAATGGAATAGCAATATGGTCAGGCAAATAGAAAAATAATAATTGGAAGCTGAATGGTAAAGATATATGGAACAAGGATGCCTGGGAAACATTAGATAGACTAAATCAGTAAAAATAATAGTATACCATGTTGATGCACATACCAATAAACAGGATGATATGCACAAACATAACGGTACAGTAGATAAATTAGCAGCAGCTCATATTAAGATGAAGAAAAACTGGAAAAGTACTATACAAGATAATAAATTAAAACTAACTAGACAATGGGAAATAGTTATACCTGAGATAAAGGAACTCAAAGTCAGTAAGGATGAAATTATAAAACTACATAAGGAACTGGGACATATTGGAACCCATGCTATGAAACAATGGTTTGATAAGCATAATATAGATGTTAAATGGGAGCATATAAAAAACTCCATTAAAATATGTAATGAATGCCCATCACAAAACCTTAGATTTAGTCATAATTACCATGGTAGCATAGGACATAGACTTAGATTTAATCATACAATGCAAATAGATTTTATAGGACCACTTACAAACTTTAAGCAAAGTTATGCATGTACAATAGTAGATATCACCACAGGTCTAGGTTTCTCTAGACGAGCACATAAACCAGATCAGAAAGCTACAATTAGTACACTATGGACATGGTGTGCAATGCATGGAACACCATTGATAGTGCAGTCTGATCAAGGAACACATTTTGCAGGACATAAAATAAAACAATTTACTAATAACATGAATATTGTGTGGGACTATCATAAAGCATATACACCCACAGCTGCAGGAAGCATTGAAAGATTCAGTGGCTTACTAAAACAAAAACTTAAACACCTCAAGGGACACACTATTGAGGAAGCTGTTAACATAGCACTAAATGAACTAAATAATAGACCTAGAACAAATAGGAATACTCCTATAGAGGAAGCTCACCCTAGACTTAATGAAGACATAGACTATCCTTACACTGAGAATAGATCACTAATTAGGCAATATAATTGCATCCACAGGAACAGGAAGAATAACTCATTCCTGCCTGCGGAAATCATTACAGAGGGAACAGGAAACACTGTCTGGATCACAACAGAGGGAGGAGACCTACAGTTGTCCAGATTAGAAGACACAGCGTAAGGAGATGTCCTTTACAAACAATCATGTGTTGTCTTATGAGTCATAGTAGCAGCAATAGTAGTAGAAACCGTGCTGATATCATAGCCAACTGGACAATTTGTTGGACCCATATGGTACAACGTCTCAAAACACTCCAGTAAAATGCACATAGAATTACGTCTTTTACATGTCACAGCATTAATTTCAACAATATCTGCTAAGATAATTGAATATTTATGGTCTTGGATTGATGAAATAGAAGCTAGGTGGAGAACTAAAGAAATAGATTTAGAACGCGGGACAGCCATAGATAATGAAAATAATGATGATGAAAATAATACACGTCCTGATGTTTGCACACATAATCTTGTGTGAGCAGGAGGAGGACCCAACTGCTACTATTACTAAAGAGACTGAGGACCCGGATAAAA